TATGTACGTAGCGAGGACACAACTATGTGTAAGTAGCGAGGACACAATTATGTGTACGTAGCGAGGACACAACTATGTGTAAGTAGCGAGGACACAACTATGTGTACGTAGCGAAGACACAACTATGTGTAAGTAGCGAGGACACAACAGACAGACAGGGTTGGACAGACACACAAAAAACAGATGTGCATGTGATAAAAAGAGAGAAAGAAATGGAGAGAGTGGGGGGAGGGGAAAATGAGAGAGAGAGAGAGAGAGAGAGAGAGAGAGAGAGAGAGAGAGAGAGAGGGAGAGAGAGAGAGGAAGAGACTGGTGGGGGGAGAGGCTTAGGAGAGAGAGAGAATATATTCCTTTACAAATTGAGAAACATATCTCCTCTGATACAATGTAAAGCTTAAGCTATAAAAAAGATTAAGAGACAATTATTGACTCTCTCTCTCTCTCTCTCTCTCTCTCTCTCTCTCTCTCTCTCTCTCTCTCTCTCTCTCTCTCTCTATCTATCTATCTATCTATCTATCTATCTATCTATCTATCTATCTATCTATCTATCTATCTATCTATCTATCTATCTATCTATCTATCTATCTATCTATCTATCTATCTATCTATCTATCTATCTATCTCTATCTATCTATCTATCTATCTATCTATCTATCTATCTATCTATCTATCTATCTATCTATCTATCTATCTATCTATCTATCTATCTATCTATCTATCTATCTATCTATCTATCTATCTATCTATCTATCTATCTATCTATCTATCTATCTATCTATCTATCTATCTATCTATCTATCTATATCTATCTATCTATCTATCTATCTATCTATCTATCTATCTATCTATCTATTTCCCTGTATGTCTGTCTGTATCTCTCTCTCCCTGTATGTCTGTCTGTATATATATATCTCTCTCTCTCTCTATCTATCTCTCTCTCTCTCCTCTCTCTCTCTCTCTCTCTCTCTCTCTCTCTCTCAGCGCCAACTCCATGCACGTTTGCAACTGTTAGAGCATAATGTCCCCAGGTTTTGGGCATTTGCTAAAAAAAAAATGTGTCTGGTGTTAACGCTGTGAGAAGACCCTACATTCTCTCACCTCCGAGAAAAGTCGATTAACAGACAAGAAATATAACAGTCCAAACGGAACGGCTCGACTTAACGAATCGACACATTTCTTTGCCATAAACAGCGATGCGCAATGCAACATCTCGGTATGTAAGCCACAAATATGCTAGTTGTTTCCAGCACTATGTGGTATTTATAAGTCTGAAGTTAAAAGTCTCATTCAAGGCTTGCCTGAAATGAACTGCACGCTGTCCTGCTGACAGATCCACATATTTCTATCAAAAGGGATTAGCCGTGTCTTGCTTTAGTGTGACACAGATTAAACCTTTCCAGGGAACTAAAAACAAATTCCAGTGGATTGGGGGGGGGGGGGGGGGAGGGGGGAGGGGGGGAGAGAGGGGGTGTGGGAGTGTGAGTGTGTGTGTGAAGAAAACACGCTGGCACTGAATAGGACACACGTGGCAAAAGGGAGAGTCCAAGTGTCAGAATGTCGTTATTCCTATCTTTCTCCTCTTATTAGTTGTTGTAGCAGTAGCAGTAGCTGTTGCAGCAGCAGCAGCAGCAGCAGCAGCAGCAGCAACAGCAGCAGCAGCAGGAGGAGGAGGAGGAGGAGGAGGAGCAGCAGCAGCAGCAGCAGCAGCAGCAGTAGTAATAGTAGTAGTAGTAGTAGTAGTAGTAGTAGTAGTAGTAGTAGTAGTAGTAGTAGTAGTAGTAGTAGTAGTAGTAGTAGTAGTAGTAGTAGTAGTAGTAGTAGTAGTAGTAATAGTAGTAGTTGTTGTTGTTGTAGCAGCAGCAATATGATGAACCGCAGCAACAGCAATATGATGATCAGCAGCTGCAGTAAAACCTTTGCATAATATCGTTCCATGTAGCAAGTTTGTGTGTGTGTGTGTGTGTGTCCCAAAATGTCGCTCCGTGTATAAAGTCTCCTCTGGTCATGTCATAAGAAAAAGAAAACTGAAGCGCATCGTGGCGGCGAAAAATCTGGAGGGGAAAAGAGGCAGAGGAAACCGATAGAAAAACAGAAAAAGAGAGAGGGGAGGAGAGAGAGAGGGGAGGAGAGAGAGAGAGAGAGAGAGAGAGAGAGAGAGAGAGAGAGAGAGAGAGAGAGAGAGAGAGAGAGAGAGAGAGATGCTGGACAGTTCGACATTACGGCATGGAAGATAATCTCTCAGAACTGACTGAAAGTATACGAGACAGAAGGTTGTGGCTACATACGACTACCAGAGCCAAATGACATAGACTGTGTTTTTTTTTTTTTTATTCAGAAACTAGGAGTTGTTAACCCTCTGGCCTTGATTCCACGATAGATACCGTACATATAGGAGAAATGTGGCTTTTCTGCGTGAACCTGGACCACACGGAGCTCGTCACCCGGTCGCCGCGATGTCAGGTTTAACCGACTACGCTAGCGAGCCGAGCGACACGGACTATAAGAAGTACTTCTACAGTGGAAGAGCCGCTGGCCGAAATGATAACAACGCTGGTATCTCATATGTGGGAGACCAAGGGACGAATCCGTAGTGCTGTATAGTTCCTGGACATAATGCTGTCAGGCAGACCAATCAGACGTCGGTTGATGCTGCAGCCAACATCACGCAGGCCGTCTTTACTTGAAAGGAAATTTCCTAGTGCCAAATTTAAGGTCAAGTCGACCTGGGGGCCAAGGTCGTTTATAAAATGAATCAACCCAGTGGCGGATTGGAAACCACGACCTTCAGGTTGGCAGGTCAGCGTCTAGTAGCCTATAATACCTTCTAATTGGCGCACATATATGCACAACGTCTACTAGTTATTCCCAGGTCGACCCAGCCTTGAGTGGGTACCGGTTGCAGTTCCAGGAAGTAAAGGCGGGCGGCGTGATGCTGACCACATCACCCATCTTGTGCCGATTGATCTATACAAATATAGGTCTAGCCCTATGTGCCCTATACGCCTACAGGCATGGAAAAGAGACCTTTACTTTTTACTACTAGTTATATTAAAATCCAACCAACTCTAACTTTAAAGTTTGTTTCCCCCTTTCTTTTCATAAGGCATATTATTTATTTTTAATTTAACTAATCGATTTTATTTCCTCAACAACTTTTTCCCCCACAGCACATCGACCTTATTTCGCAGCAGCTATGACTCAACCCCCAGATAATGTGTTCACGTTATGATGTATCTGACTCAAGCCTGCGGGCGACATGTGTGTACACATGTGGAGGATGGTTATGAGGTCATAAAACAATTGGATATCAGAAGTAGTAAATAAAAGTGAAAACCCCAGGTGTAGCAACTGCACCGATGGGAATAGGCCATGTGATCGAACTGTCAGGTGATTATATAACAGTGATTAAAAGTAGGTGGTGTAACCAGTACTTTTGTATGGAGCGGAAACACGTAGAACAACTAAACAAAACATGCTAACTACTAAACTACCAACATGCATTAACTAAACAGAGGGAATTACCTGGTATGATAGAACCACTAATGCTGAGGTTTGGGAAAGAACTAAACAAGGTCAGTGGACTAAGAGGTGGGGGAAAAAAGACGCTGGCGCTGGATAGGACACACTTTGAGAAAATATCAGAATAATATAACTAAAAAGTCTTTGCATCGAAACCCACAGCGGTATAGAAATAAAAGGCAGCGCCCCCCCCCCCCCCCCCCCCCCCCCTTTTCAACAAAAAATGACAATTGGAGCTAGAGAGTAAAGTTAAAAAGATTATGGAAGACACGTAGCTGAGTTGCATTCAATAGCAAAGGACAGAACGACCTGACGTGAGTTGGTTGGGTGCCTATGCTTCATTGAGGGACAGAAAGTAAAAGGAAGAAGAAATTACTAAGCGTGAATAAGTAATCTATCCTCTACACAAGATGATTACACCATCAAGACAGTGCTAGTAGTGTTCAGTCAATACCCGAAGATTAAAAATCTACCAAAGCCGTACCACAATTACACGTTTGCAGCAAGATATTTCCTTAAAAAATTAGGCTATCCTCCTAATAACGGTCCCAAATTATCGAGGCCGAAAATATACCCTAACAGGGCCTCAGTCACATGTAACCTCTTCGTAGCGGCGCGGAGGGGGCTAAACTAATTGGCTGAGACTCACAAGCAAATAAAATGGAGGAAGCTGCAGGAGATGCGGTAGCTGCTGCTCGTGAGTCCCATCCATTTATTCTAGGCCTGCTCCGCGCCAAGCGTAGCGGCGCGGGGAAGCTTTTCCGCGGTATGCTGTGTAGTCACCGGAAATAGGTCTGCAATTTACATGTGACTGAGGCCCTGTTGGGGTATATTTTCGGCCTCGATAATTTGGGACCGTTATTAGGAGATAGCCAAACATTATTTCAAATGTATACTAACCACAGTGCACTCTGCTGTCGAGGTACTTATTCAACATTCCATAAGGGTACAAGTACAATGCAGTTGGTATCACATCTGCCTTACAATCGAAAAGTACTGCATTCAACCACTTCGTGACTTTTTTGGGGAGGGCGGAGGCTGGGGAGGCGCTGCCCGGGAACAAATGTGTAGTTAAAAATCTACAGAAAGTATTTCAGGATCCTCGCCGGTGCTACGGAGTTCGTGCACTGCGCTGAGACTTTCGGACTCAGGCTTTAGTCAGAAGTAGAACGGAGGAGAACTTATGGGTTACTATCCTTGTGCAATGATGCTGATCCGTCGTCTAAACCTAAACAAGTAGCCTGCTAACAGCGCTTATTGTGAGTCTTCAATGAATTGGGGGATCCTAGGATTTTTAAAAATGGCCCCACTAAAGCAGGCCGACCGACCCTTCTGGTACAATCCGAGCTAATACTCTTTCCAGCAAACATACAAACATATACATAAACTCACAAAGAAGTACGCATATGTCTATTCATGCGAAACGACAAGGATGTTGACAAGACAACGTTGAAACAAACGGCGGAGGATGGATGACTCACCTTGAGATCCAGGTGAACAATGTTGTTGTCGTGGAGGAAAGCCAAACCTTCCAGTATCTGTGCCAGGAGTCTGCGCACATCGTCCTCCTTGAAGGATTCCTTGATGACACACTCATCAAACAGTTCGCCACCCGAACAGCTAGGAAAGGGAAAATGACTGCTTATCGATTGGTATTACTGTTACAATAAAGACTAGACGAGAGAACTACAGTATAAACAAGAAGATGTGATAGAATTACAATAACTGAGATGATATTACTGCGAAGAGCTCTTATAGCAACAAGAAGAGAAAAGATAAGAAAAGATAAAATAGAAGAAAAATGGTAGTAGTAGCAGCTCTGGATTTCATTTCAAAACAACGAGTGAAATGGTTTGGCCATATAACGCGGATATCTATAAACACGACAAGCAGTGATATGCAGATCAGGGTGTAAGCTAAGAAAGGGCATATATGCACACCACGGACAAAGGGTATAACAAGAGTCCCTGGAAATCCCCATTTACCTAGAGCACAAAAGAGCATTTCTCCCCAAATTATACTTCACTTTAACACCATAGGGTATAAGAGGATCAAGACAAGATGAGATGAGACTGTTACAGTATTACACTTCCCTACCAATCATTATCGTCGTCATAATCATCATTATTATCAACATCATCATCATCGTCATACAATTCGGAACTCCGTGGACGACAATGGTGCACTGTCATTTTGAGATTTTTTTTACAACAGATCATCATGGCACACGGGTGTAACCCATAAGTGCTCTGTTCTTCTTCTCAAGTCTTGAGTCCGAAGAAGTTCAGCACAGTGCACAGGCTCTGTAGCACCGGCAAGGATCCTGAAATACTTTAGGCAGATTTTCAACTCCAAATTTTGACCGGGCAGCGCCGTTAGGCTACTCTTTTCGATTTCCAACTGCCAAGGGATTTTTTTTACGTGCACAACAATGCCCACGGGCGTCCGATCTCACTACCCAGATGCCAAGGGGAATTATTAGAAGTCCAAGTCCACGTGAACAAATCCCAGCCCTTACCTTACCCATGACCATCCAAACACAAATTTCATTATTAGTGCAAACAACAGTAAATAAATCGACTAACAAATGATCCTGCGATGTTATTTGCCATTCACAGGACATAATAAAGTGAGCAGGCCCAGTGCAAAATGTTACGGCGGGCTATTCAATTCAAACTATTATGGCGATGGTTTAAGTTTTCCAGTTTCCAAGAACCAATACTCTCAACGAGCTTTACATCTTCTTGGCGTTAACGGCTGTTACTCTGGTGAAATGTTTTGCTTGTTCGTTCAAGTTTGGACGCTGGTCTCGTTGCACAACTTAAGTCTTGGCTGCACATCCGTTTTACAATCTGGTTTATTGTGTTTGTATGCAGATTGCTGATCTCTCGCCTCTCTGCCAGATGTACTTCCTTCCACAACGGGGCCCCGGAACCCAAATAGGGACCACCAGTTTTATAATACCGTCTATAACAGCGGTTCTCAACTTGTGAGTCGCGACCTGTTTTGGGTCTAGACGCTCTCATAGAGGGTCGCCAAAGACCATCGGAAAGCACATATTCATTGAGGTTATAAAGTAGTGACGAAAATAATTGTATTTTTGGGAGGTCGCCACAACATGAGGAGTTGTAAGAAAGGGTGGCGGCATTAGGAAGGTTGAGAACTTCTTCTTCTCCTGCCTTTCTATCCCCCAATGGAGCATAGGCCCTCAACCAACTCACGCAAAGTCGTTCTATCCTTCGCCATTGCATGCAGCTCTCCCCATGTCCTCCCCATCTTTCTAACTTCATTCTCCAGCTCTCTTCTCCGTGTGTTTTTTGGCCTTCCTTTATTCCTATGCCCCTATGGGTTCCATTGCAAAGACATTCCGGTTATGCTGTTCTCCTGTTTTCTCAGTGTGTGTCCTATCCAGCGCCAGCGAAGGTTGAGAACTACTGGTCTCTAATCTTTAGAAGCCTGTTAATTAACAAATGTTATGAGCTAATGTGCAAACTCCTGGCGAGATTCGAGCCCTACTTATCCACAAATTAGTCATCAGCCGCTGAACGTAAACTGATGTCAGCGTTAATTGTAGTAAACAAGACTTTCAACGACAAACATCTTAGGTTAAAAGCTGTGATAAACTCCTTAAAGTCGGTAAGATTACGATCGTAGGAAAAGAAACAACACAAAGATAATCTACACACACAATAAATAAATACATATATACATAAAACCCCACGTGGCGGCTGATTAGAAGTGAGACAGCGAACAAAGATATTGTCGATCGGGGGTGGGGGGGGGGGAGAGAGAGAGAGAGAGAGAGAGAACACATGAGAGAGAGAGAGAACACGAGAGAGAGAGAGAGAGAGAGAGAGAGATACAGACATATATACAGAGAGAAAGATAGAGAGAGAGTCAATAACTGAGAGAGAGGGGGAAGCATAGACACACACAAATGAAACTACCTGGCGACTCAATACACTACAAGCCATATACCAAAAGGAGAGAGGGATCTGAATCACGACGTAGGCCAAGAACAACAACGGGGGAAAAATAACACCTGTGAAACTCTACAACTCTTTATCCTGTCTATGTTTGAGGTTTCAAGAAGAGCAAAAAGCCGAACATTATATCTTTCCTGACACCTGAAGCGGTAAACGAGGAAGTGAAGAACTAAGAAGACTTGACGACAGGTCAACATAAAATACACGTTACATCTAAACAGCTCAACAGTGTGAAAGTGGCCAACAGATACAAAGGAAAATGTCAGAACAACCACCAAAGAATAGATTGCTACAATAACTGTTCTAGTAACACCACTTCCTGGTTATCATGTGTTAACGACTTCGCTCAGTAACGGTGTGTGTATCACTTAAGAACCACTTCCTTCTGTGCCTTTGTTCTGTTGCACTAACACTTCAGAAGTGACTAACTGCGTGTTTACGGATGGGAGGATGCTGACCTGTTCATTCCGTCATACTGATATATAAACTTCACGGTATGGAGTGGGGGAAGGTGGGTAGAGTTTTTCTTTTCAGGGACGAGAGAGATGGAGAGAGAGAGAGATGGAGAGAGAGAGAGAGACAGAGACAGAGACAGAGAGAGAGAGAGAGAGAGAGAGAGAGAGAGAGAGAGAGGTCTAACACCCAGAGAACGAGTCACAAGGATAGAATGCCTGACAGCGACGGAAAGAGAGAGAGAGAGAGAGAGAGAGAGAGAGAGAGAGACTAAGAACGAGATAGCCAGGAGAGAGAGAGAGAGAGAGAGAGAGAGAGAGAGAGAGAGAGACAGAGAGATGAACGATCTGGGAAAGTGTCAATCCTCTCGTTCCTCCCTGGCAGTCAATATGTTTATCCATCTATTTGTAAGTCTATATGTTTGTTCACCCACACACACACACACACACACACACACACACACACCACACACACACACACACATATATATCTATATATATATATATATATATATATATATATATATATATATATATATATATATATATATATATATATATATATATATATATATTTATATTCATTTATTCATCCATCCTTCTTTCTATTCATTCATTTGCTCAAGCTAGCTTAGTGTACTCTGCAACGTATCCTGTCTTCCAAGGAGAATCAAACGATTTCGCTAACCCTTATACACAAAACAGGAATACTATCTCAACATAGATTACATACCCCCTGAAAAAAAAATAGTAGTTTATTAAATTACACAAAGTTTTATTACACTTACTGTACTACACATTATCATTTATAAAGTTGAGCAGAATTAGACCATATTTCGTCGTATGTCACTAAGATGATGTTGATTGTGTTTAGTTTTAAATGATGTATGTATGTATGTTTGTAATAATGTATATAAGGGCAGAATGTCAGGCGGACCTGCGAGGCCATTTCTTAACCCTCTGAAAATAGAGTTCGATCCTTCATCCCTCAATCCACGCACCCACCCAATTTATCAACCCATCCAGTCGGCTAGCTAAACACCCACTTATAAACGCATGAAAGCCTCCTATAACGCACACGCAGAAAAAATGACACAATCTGTCCAAAAGACACAATCTGTTCAAAAGACACAATCTGTCCAAGACACAATCTGTCCAAAAGACACATTCTGTCCAAAAGACACAATCTGTCCAAAAGACACAATCTGTCCAAAAGACACAATCTGTCCAAAAAACACAATCTGTTCAAAAGACACAATCTGTTCAAAAGACACTTATCTATACAATAGTTTGCAATGAGGTAATTAAAGACTCGTAGTCCTTAGAAACAGGCGGCGCTCTGCCAGCTGCTCCATAGCAAACTGGAGGGGAAAACTTCTTAATGCGGGTGTCCTTCAGTTTATGAGAGAGAGAGAGAGAGGGGGAGAGAGAGAGGGAGGGAGAGAGAGAGAGAGAGAGAGAGAGAGAGAGAGAGAGAGAGAGAGAGAGAGAGAGAGAGAGAGTTTGTTTTAGTATCCAGAAGCCATGAGTTGTTAACCCTTAGGCTCGGTATTATGGATGTCGCAACCTTTCGGCCTTGATTCCATTGTAAATACCGTAAATCTGGGAGAAATGTGGTTTTTCTGCCCACCCACGGGAGTGAACCCGGACCACAAGGAGTTCATCACCCGCCCACCGCGCAATCCGGTTTAGCCAACTACGCTAGAGAGACGGGCAGAGAGAGAGAGAGAGAGAGAGAGAGAGAGAGAGAGAGAGAGAGATATTGGGGGGGGGGGGCGCAATAGCAACTAAAGGCTATACTTTTAAAGCAGGTTTTGTGTCCCGTGAGCATCAGATATTCCATAGCAAACTGACAAATATTCCATACTGCGTATGTCTGTCAGTGCAAGGAGGAGGAATGAAAGAAAAAGAGGAGGGGGAAGTGAGAAAGAGACGTGATAGTAATTAAAACGCTATCCCTTAGAAACAGATGAAGTTGTGTCAACTTCACAGCAAACTGAAAAATATTCCCTGCTGCGCGTGACCGAGAACGCGCACGTGCAATGAAGAACGGAAGGAGGGAGGTAGGGCTAGGATGGGGCTTGACAACTTCAAGGAAAGGTTAGTTGCGTATCCTTTACAGGACGTTGCAGAACCAACCTTAACAGCCCCGTGTGGTTTTTCTAGGCAAAATTACGTCCAG